GAGAACTCATTTTTTTTAATTAAGTCATTTTACAATGCTTAATTATTCTTCCAGATTTGGTATCTGGCTTCTTGCTAATCTTCTGTGCTCTTCAGATCGCTTAGTGACTTGTATTTTATTATCTAAAGGCTTTGAGAATTGTGATTTTTTTAACACTTTCACTTTGGATATGGGAACAGCACTATTTATTTTGCCACTGGCTTTCAAAACATAACTTTGTTGCTTTTTAACCCAGCTAGGCGGATCTTCAAACTGCCAGGCAGCTAAGCCTAAGGCAGCAGGTCACTGCCCTTTCTTCCTTCCTCTCTGTTCTCCACTCCTCCCTTTTCCCACCATCCCTCTTAGTTCCTCAACAAACCCCTCCACATACTTTACAAAGCAGAGATTAGATAAATTGTCCTTTGACAGGGTTTAGAGATAACAAACTCCTGTGGTTGACAGGGTTGACTGAGCTCCCTGGTTAGCATAGCCACACAATACACCCACTTTCTAACATCCTGTAGGCTCCTCTGGGCAGAATGGGAGAGAGAGGCAGAGACAAGGAATATCACGCACTGTTCTCCACAGTCACTCCATAAAAAGAGCAGATTCTCCAGGGTGCCAGAAAGTATTCTAGGAAAAGAAATGGTACGAAGGTTTATAGGGCAACAAAAAAAAGCATAAAACTATAGATTTTGATGGATGTGGGAGCTGCAGAATGCAGAAGAAAACAAATACTGGGGAGTTAATAGCATGGTTCAGGAACATATTCTGTATCCAATACTTTCTCATAATCTATACCCCCTGCTCAAGGGAGATTATATGTCGCTGAAGATAACTATTTTTAGAACAAAATTTCCTTTCCTAGCCTTGGGAATTACATTCCACATGATTTCAGGGTGAAAACATTAAAATTATTGAAAATTTTAAACATCTAGTATATATTTATTTTATTCTAAAAAATATACTGGGTTAAGACCAGTTAGAAATGTCTGAACATTACTAAAGCATGACACTGTAATTCACTATGTATTAGACATTGGGAAACTGGATCTTCTGAAATTATATAGAGATTCAGCTACCTTAGAGAAAAATTAAAGTCCAGGATTATTTTATCTTGTAAGTGTAGAATGGTTGCACAACAGAAAAAAAGACTAGAGTATGCTTTATCTACTTAACTGAGAAGGTACAAGTTAAATTAATTTATCAGATTCTGGAAAGTAGAAACTGTTTCTGTGTTTTATTTTTCTCTCTCCCTAGTGACTAAGAAAAATTGTTTCTGAATCATTCAATTATCCATTAGTTCATACAACAAATCTTGCCCCAAATCATGGCTGTCCAATAATGTTTGCTGAGAAACATAACAAAATTAAAAAAAGAATAAAAACTTCTAACAACCGAAAAAGTCTTCTTTTTATCTCAGTTTTTCATACCAGGCATGTGAATATACATGTCCAAAAACCCAGGAGGAGTATGGAGGAGAAGGGATTGAAGCATGGTCATTCACCTTGCGGGGTTGGGGAGGGGAGAGGTAATATTACTGTCTCTCTCACTATCTCTCTCTCTGTCTCTTTCTGGAGAGCACACATGCCTTACAGCAAAAAAACTAAAAAAAAAAAGGTGGTAAATGACATTGATAAATTTTCCTTATTCGAGATAATCTTTGCATTTCTGAGATAATCCTTAATAATTATATTGTGTTATTTTTAATAATCTGTCAAATTCAGTTAACTAATAATACATTTAAAATTTTTTATATATGTTACAAGGTGAAATAGACTTGTGAGTTATTTTTCTTTTTGTACTGTCCTTATCTAGTCTGGGAGTCAAGGTTATATTAGTCTCATAAAATGATTGAACAGCTTTCTCTTTTCAAAAAAAATTTTTGAACAAACTGTAAAACACAGGGATTATCTGTTCTTTGAAAGTTTGATGAAAATCAGCTATAAGACTTTCTTGGTTAAACCTATCCTTTTTTTGTTGTTGTTATTAATGTTGGCAGTCTTTGGATATTTTTTCAATACTTTACGTGAGTTCTAATCTAGTCAACTTTTATATTTTACTTGTTTACTTACTTTGGCTTTTTATATGCCTACAGACGTTTATTTATTTGTTTAAATTCACTAAGAAATGGCACTGTATCATCTTTTTCTCCTAGTCAACTTAATTCTTATAAACTGCTATATTTTTTAAATGTTTTTGTCCAGAGGATGTGTGTGCTCACCAGAGAGAGACAGTGAGAGGGAAAGTGAGAAATCATTCCCTGTAAAGGTGACCATGCCACAATACCTTCTCTTCCATTTTTCTCCTGGGATTTGGGACATGCATGCACACTCACCAGGCGTGTTTCAAGCTGCTGGGTGTAGGACTTGAATCATGGGCTGCATGTGGGAGTCCAGCACTATAACCACAATGCCACCTCCTGGTACAATAAAATGCTGCCGTATTTGAATCCTATTACTTTACTTACATTTGTGACATAAACAACTATTATTATTAAGTCCTTTTTCAGCATTTTTATTTTTCAGTTTTTTACATTCCAACATTTAGATGTAATGTAATCAATTTAATGAGTTAGGTGGCAGATTATAGCTTCCCAAGATAATCACAACACACCTCCCGTCTCACATGCTCTTTAAAATGTGACATTATTCATGATTGCTGAAATGTGGAACCAACCCAAATGTCCACAAACAGATGAGTAAATTGAAAAAGTGTGGTACATATACTCCATGGAATACCCTAGCATTTGATAGTGCACAAATATGGAAGATTTGTTGCTGAGCAAAGTGAGTCAGGCTATGAAAGAGACATTGTATGTCTCCACTTAGCATATCTGCACTCTATGGTAGAGATTGAAAGACTGGAGGACATAAAAGCATTGAAAATAGTTATGGACACTGGAGACAGTATGGAAGGAGGGTGGGAAATGGGAAGAGTATAGGGAAGGTAATTAGGGAGAAAAAAGTAGGGAGGTAAGACATTTGTGGGACACAAATATTTTATTACCTATTGATGATGTGTATAGTATTTTCAATTGGACTTTCTAAGTTATATTTTATGTTGGGTAAATTCTCTATATGAGCAATTAATGTATAAATAATAATTATTATTGTAATAAAAAAGTTCTTTTAAAAAGGTGACTTCTGGGACCAGCAGTTGGCATAATGGCTATGTAGCTGGACTCCCATGTAGTCGACCATGGTTCTAGTCCTGGACCCAGTAGCTTAAACTCACACCAGGATCCCGAGAGGAGAATGGAGGAGAAGGGATTATGGCGTGGCCATACACCCTGGGGTGTGGGGGAGTGATTTCTCGCTTTCTTTCTCTGGTGAGCGAACACGCCTTAAGCAAAAACTTCTCCAAAAAAAAAAAAAAGAAAGAAAGAAAAAAACTGACTTCTGTATTCTATCCTTTTGAAAATGGGTAGGATTTTTACTCATGGACGTCCAACAGAATTCATAAACAATGTTTTATGATTTTCTAGAATAGTTAAAAATATGAGTTTTTGCTTTGTTTGTTGGAACACAGTGATGAACTACTAAAAGAAAATAATAAAGGCGTTAGTATAGCTGCTACTTCTGGGCAATAAATTACTCCAAAGAGTGGCTTAGATAATGATTTTATCATGTTCACAATAATGTTTGTCTCTCTTCTACAGTGAGGCTGAGAGATGAGACTCTGCTGGGAAGATTCAAAGACTAGAGTAACTTAGTGGGTGGGGCTGGAGTCCTCTGCATTTCTTCAAAGGATTTCCTTTAATAGAAGTACCCCTAAATTTGTCAGCTGTATGTTTTATATCTGGGGGGGCCATCCTCATATCTAATCTCTATGGCCATTGATGATTTCTCTTTATTGCTATTAAACAATAGACAATAAAAAACCTGATTTGTCAACAAACTTTAGCGGGCATTTGCTACAGAATACAACCTAAGAAAATGCATTCAAAGTTTCTAACATTAGTATCATCTGCCAGGACATAGATGTTCCTCATTTCTCCTTTCCAACCAGTGTATTGGCTCATGTGTTCCAAGAAGAGACCCTTTACCCAATACTTTACATAAACATTATCTTTAATGCCTCCCCACTGCCCTTTTGTTTATTTTTTTAAATATATATACAAAATGTCAAGGGTCAAGTATGCACTTTGAAATTTGTGAAGGGAAATACAGTCTCATTTGGGAGTTTTCTGACTTTAGATTCACGTAACAGAGTATAATCTCTCTTGTAGGATGTTTTCAAAAGGGCTCTTATCTGAGGCAATTTTTAAATTTATCCTTGAAATAAAAAAAAATGAGAGAATATGAGCATTTTGGAAGTCATAAAATTGCCATTCTAAGGAACTATTTCTATTTCAATCTCTACCTGCACGTCTAATTTTCTTGGGGACAAGTGTTTAAGGAATAGCATAATTGCTTAAGATGGACCATTCTTCCATTTTTTTTTCCAAAGAGAATAATAACACTTAAAAATCCTGCAAAGAAAAAGCTCCAATTCAGAAACTGAGAGCTACTCTCTTTTATCCCATTGTTACACATTGCTTTGATATAAAGACTCTAAAAGAACAATCCAGATACTGCCAAATCTAATACTAGTGTCAATTTGGATCTCATATCATAAATAGATAGGAATGCTAATGATTTTAAATATACTTTATTTTTAAAGTGATATGATAGTCCAAGGGAATGTGCCAACATGATTATTTAAGAAACAATTGCTTAATTAAGAATTGCTGTTATGCAATTCAAGTCATTTTTTAGACTGGCAAGTTAGCATGCTTCTAACAATGTAGTGAAATGTTTATTTCCTGAGGAAATCCTTAATTTTTTCCACACTTATCTTGACCCAATATTTGTATTTTTTTGGTAGTATCATATCAAAATCTGTGTCATCATCATTAACCAGTATGTTTATTCAGTTGTTGTGTAACTAACTTTGATGTGAGCATAACAAGATAAGCTTCTTGAAGCCTTTGACTTCTTTCCTTAAAGAAAAAAAATACCTTTCAGTAAAAACTCAGAGTTGTTTCGGAGCATGATGGTTTCCTTTCTCATGAACTCTGTGCTCCAATGACCTATAACACCAAAAGAAACTGGATTTTAAACACTTGGGAAAGATTTATGGATTTAGACTTGTCTAGTTAGAGGTCTTAGCCAAATCTAAAATTAAATTTTATATATTTATACTAATTTCTGCCCTGATTTTTCATCAAATGAGAGGATACCTCAATGGATACATACTTTTTTCCCTTTCTAATAAATTTGCTTTAACTGGGTTAATGACACTGTTACACTTGTTAAAAGTGTGGGTTAAATATATGGACTTATATCCATTCTTTGACCAAACTTCAACAATAATGGGATTTTCTTCTCTCCTTTTCTTTCTTTCTTTCTTTCTTTCTTTCTTCTTTCTTCCTTTCTTCTTTCTTTCTTTCTTCTTTTCTCTCTCTCTCTCTCTCTCTTTCTTTCTTTCTTTTTTGATAGCATAATAAGGACAGAAACAATAGGAGAGAACACAATGGTAATAATATTTTGGAAACTGGAAAACAGTTAGACTAGCAAGCTAAATCCTAAATTGGCAGACACCCCTAAGTGGGTGTCTGAGAAACAGCTAAAGTTTACACTGAATTCTCAATGTATCTAAAAATTTTTTTTTTTTTTTGAGAGGCTTTTCACTATAGGGCGCGTGCGTTCGCCAGACAGACAGAGAGAGACATAGAGACAGAAAGCGAGAAATCACCCCCCAGGGGGGATGGTCACGCCGCAATCCCTTCTCCTCCATTCTCCTCTTGGGATTTTGGGCACGCACGCACACACGCCCGGCGTGAGTTTTAAGCCACCGGGTCTGGAATGTGAACCACAGTTGACTACGTGGGAGTCCAGCGACATAGCCATTACGCTAACTGCTGGTTCCCTAAAAATTTTTTTTTAAAATGTGGATCATCTTTATTTTTAATTAATTAATTTATTTTTAAAATTTATTTCTTTTTTTGTATATACATTCAATCACATTGTTTAGCTTACAATGTGAGCATTTCAATATGTGAACATTTCTCCCCAGTCCCGTTGATCAAAATATCTTCAACCAATAACACCACACTTCCCCATCCCGTCAATGTTCTACCTCTGTATCCCTTCTCCAAATGTCCTTCATTAGGCCCAGTTGATGATACCACTAACCTCTGCAGCTGTGAGCTGTGGGGGAGGAATAGCAGGACTAAAAACTAAATTATACCTGAAAATCTTTTCAAGGACTAATAGTTACAGTTTCTCAAATGTCTCAAATATAAGTACTCTGAAAATACTTGAAAATAGAAAAGAAAATGTTTACTGTGAGAGCCATTGTTGTGTGACTTGATGCATATTTTCACTATCATTAAATTATTGGCATATTGGTAAAAGCAGGACTCTAGCTATACCATTACTTCCTTGTGAACAACAGGGCACATAGTTAGAAAGGTCTTATATTTCTTGGGACCAGCAGTTAGCGTAATGGCTATGTCACTGAACTCCCATATAGTCGACAGTTCGTGAGCGCACGAGCCCTATAGCAAAAAATAAATAGATAAATAAATAAATAAATAAATAAATAAATAAATAAATAAAATAAAAATAAAAAAATAAAATTAAAATAAAAAAGAAAGGTCTTATTTTCTTTAAATGATCTTTTCTATCATGCATATATAAAAAATCAAGTTCTTATCTAAGTTGCACTAGAGCTTTTTCTCTAGTAGGCATACCTCATTGTGTCTTTGTTATTTTTTTCCCAGAAAACAAGATACCTTTCTGGAGTGTCATTCCTCTACGTCAATAGGTTCCTTGACCTATACAATAGGTTGAGTAACAATACGCTTATTTCTTCCATTGATTCCAGGATGTTTCAATAACTGTGCCCTTGCATTGTTTTTACCTTATCTGGGACATAACTCCTTCAGTTCACTACACAGCATCTCCCTGCATATCCTGCTGTCATTCATCCTCACCAGACTAAACCAACAAGACTGAATTGTAATGGTTGGATAGGAACCTGTGGGAGAGAGGAGAAATGAATTTTAAGTCAAGGTGAAATTTCATTCTTGGCTTCTGAAGGAATTCGTGGATCTATACTCTTGATTTTTTTTAAGCATCCTTAAATGAATGACCTATGATTTTAACCTTGTGCATAAGCTTGTGGATCATTTTTAAAATAGATTCTATTCAAATGATGAGAGGATTTTGTGAATCAATTTATGTTTTTAAATGTTTTCTCTTTAATAAGAAATTGTGCAATATCTGTAAAGGACTGTATCTACACTCCTTATCTGACCTCTAGTGAGAAAGTCATCCCTAAATGATTGTATCCCATACTTTTCCTACTCCTTTATTGTTCAGGGAAATTTATCATAAGTCTGGCTCACATCAAAAGCAATACTTGACACTAACCCAAAAGTAGAGCTATTGGTGAAAGGAATAAAGGCATTTAATTCAGTCATCTTTTTCTATGCCTTATACGCTAATGATATCATCTAAGAAGTGGGAAATAATAGTAGCAGCTCACCCTAAGATCAGGCTTTGAATAATCAGCAGCTCGCCCCTTTACTCATTGCCTTTCTCCACATTCAGCCTAGGTCTTTCCCTCCGTTCTCTTATTTTATACTCTATTAACCTCTTCATTGTGTCCTATCAGGAACTTTCCTTAGTTTTGAGTGAATTCTCCCATATTCTTAACATTTTTTTACTAATATTCACTAAAAATAGTAATCAAATATAATAGCTATAATTTATTAGGTCCTTACTTATATACATTTTATTGCAAACCTACAGGTACTATTATTATCTTATTTTACAGTTGAGGAAATTGAATTTTCAGAGGTTAAATTGACCAAAATTAATCTGCCAACTGGTGGCTGATCCAATGGATGTCAACACCTATGCATTTAACCTAAATGTTAGGTCATCCCAAATCCATCTTTCTCACTTATACTATTCTTTTTTTTTATTGCCATTGCTTCCTGACAGCCAGGATAGGGTCAAAGCTTCTATAGTCAGTGCCAGAGCATGGTGGCTAAGTGTTGTGCAAAGAAAGCCAGATCCCACATGTTCAATCCTAGCAACTCCTAGTCCTTGTGGCTTGAAAAATACAGCAGCCCATGTGTATGGATGCCCAGAATTCTTTCTGGATGGAGGAATGGAGGAAAAAGGATTGTGATATGATCATGCATCACTGGTACTTCTCTCTCTTCTCTTCCTCTCTTTCTGGTGAACACACATGCCTACTGACAAAATAAACAGCAACAAAATATAAAACTTACATAGAGATTTAGCTTTCTGGGAAAGACTCCTCCCCTCCCAGCATCTTTGGGGACTCTTTTGGTTTGAGTCTCTATTCTCAGTTTCTGAATATTCTCAATTTGAAACTCCCTTGGTTTTCATAATGCATACACACACACACACACACACACATGATTTTAAACTTTGGTTTTCCTTCCTGTCTAACATTTTAATACCCGGACCACCTTCATTCTCCTCTTTGCTATGCGAGTTCAAGTAAGTTTAATGCTTCGCTCCCTTCTCTTCTTGTTGCTTCCATTGAACTTTACATAAGCAATTAAGACAGAATGTCACATCACACCTTCTATGAGCTTGTGGCATTATTTGAGAATGTTCAATTGTGCTTTAAAGAACTAAAACACAAACAAAGTGGATGAAATGTATGAGTGTTAAATATAGATGGTAAGTTGACCATTTTTGATATTGTCTTTGTCCAGTCAAAGTCTATAACAAAATATCATAAACTAGGTAAGCTTACAAATAACAGAAACTTCATTCTCAGTCCTGGAGGCTGGAAAGTCCAAGATTGAGATGCCAGCATATTTGGTGTCTTTTGAGGGCTTGTTCCTGTTTGATAAACAGTCCCTTCTTGATTTGTTAGCATGGGCTAAAGAGTCAAGGCAGATCTCTGAGGTTCCTTTTATTAAGGCACTAATGTCATTCATGAGGGCTCCACAGTCATGACCTAATCATATCTAAAAGCCTTACCTTTCAATATCATCACATTGGTTATTAGGTTTCAACAAATGATTGAGGGGAGCACAAATATTCAGACTCTATCAGTATATGCTAAGGATGGAAAAGAGTAAATAAGGAGTTTGTAAGACATAGGCAGAACCTATAAAATAGTACTCTGTAACATACATAACAACAGTGAGATGGGCTAGCAGGTAGCATGGTGGTTAAGGTGCTGGACTCCCACATAGCCAACTATGGTTCGAGTCCCAGACCTAGTGGCTTGTTTTCTTATTTTCTTTCTCTCACATGTGCCTTATGACAAAATAATAATTAAATAATAATAATAATTAATTTAATTTAATTAATAATTATTTCTTTGAAAACAATAGCTAGAATTAGTGGAATATATAACAGAAAGAATAATAATGTTACTTGTAGACATAAAGGGATGAGAAAACCAGGTAAAACCATCCCCAACTCCCAACCCCACCAGATTTCCTTATATTCCTTTGAAGACTTTTTAGTATTTTATTGTACTTTCTGTTTGTAGCCTTTTTCTACCATGTACACATCCTATCTGCACATCTAGACTGAAAGTTCTTAGGAAATAGATATAGATATAATGATATAGATACCTTTTATTTCCAGGAGCATCTGGCATCCAGAGCTACTGCCTAAAACATTTGAGTAGATGATAGCATAACCTGGGCATCTTGGCTGGAAGTTTACTTCTCTCTTTTATGATCACTTTTATAAAACTGTCCGTCTGTGAAATAGCTGATATTAAAAAATGTAGGTATTTTATGATCTCTTATATATAGATATATATATATATATATATATATATATATGTGTGTGTGTGTATATATATATATATAAAACCCAAATAGTCTAGAAGAGTTTCTTCTTTTACTGAAAAGCAAACAAAAAATACATAAAAATTTACCCATACATATGTAAATATATGCTTATGTATCACATTCATACCTCATTTTTATTGAAGTAATAAGGCACACTACAGAGGCAGTGCAGGGAAGTAGGTAAAAGCATTGACTCTGGAGTGAAATGCTAGATGCTAACTTCAGGATTTATGATTTATTAGCGCTGTAAACTTACCTTGGGTAAGTTTATTTTATATCTATCTTTTGCAGATTTTCATTTATAAATGTTGGGAAAATAAAAACGGTGCCTAATCTTGTATGGGAAAAAATGAGTCAAAGTCAGCAAAATGCCGGGCATGTGGTGAACTGTCAGTACACATTACCTCTTAATATGGTCCTACAAATCCATTTTAAACAAATGTCCTCCTCTATGGAGAAGTTTACTTTGTCTGAATAACCTTCCAGTTAAAACTATTTACCTTTTCAAACTGGACTCCAGTCGCGCATTCTCCCTAGATAAGCAAATACATACACACTTATTATCAAGGCCTGAAAGAGCTGACAATACTGCTGATGCTCATTAACTTCACTAATACTCCCTTTATGTTTGTTTTTTCCTGTTGAGTTTATGAACCAATTCTACACCCATTGCATCATTTGATTTACACACATCTCTGCAACAAAAGTGGCCAGATATTGTTTCTCATGTTTGAAAGATAAGGAAACCAATCTCCAGAGTTAAAATGGTTTGCCTTGGTGACCTAGAGGATGACCAGAAACTCAGGTCCTTGTAAATCCTGGCCATAGACCTTTTGCCCACACTGGTAAGGTGGGCTCTGCTAATAGAGATTAGGAGCTGGTATAGCTTCAAGAATAGTCCCTGAGTTGTTCTCCTCCATAATTCTTTTTCTTTCAAAAATTCCCCAGAAGAAGCACCCTACTGTTCATTCTACTCAACTTTTTAAAATTAGGATCCTCCCTCCATGTAAGATGATATTTAAGTTCTGAGGAAATAAAAACAGTTGTTTTTCCCTCATACATACTAAGCTGTTTTTGTCCCTTTGAATGTCTGCCCAGCAAAGTTAGAGCAGTGCTGACTCAGAGCATTGTCTGGGGTAAAATCCCATTTGTCACTTAAGAGGTCCATGACCTAGGATAGTTAATGAGCTGTGCCTCATTCCCCCATGTGTAAAATGAAGCTGACATATTACTTATCTTGTAGATTCTCATGAAGATTGAAAAAAATAAATGTACAGTACTCAAAAGAGCACCTGGTTAAATAGGTGTGAGTTCCTGTTGTTACTGTTTTGTATGAGAAAATAGTCTTAATTCTTTCTCACTTTAGTTGGTATTGTACAGCTGGTTAAAAAAAGACTATCATTGTGTGAACCAAAGTGGCCAGACCGTGTAAGGACCAAATGCTTAAAACCAAAGCATCACAATCCGCCTCTCGCCCAAGACCCACGACTCTCACAGAGCTGCTGTCCCTCATATCTTAAATGAAAACATTCACAATCTCATATTTCCCGAAAATATGTCTTGACAAATCTGTTTTCTGACTTTTCTCCTCTTCACCATGATCACCCTCCAGTTTCGCCTAAGGAATAGGTTGCTATGACAACATTCACCACCCACAGTCAACAGTCAAATTTCATTTCTCAGATTCAACTATTAGAAAATAAATGGTCCATGTAACATTCTTTGTGCTGTTTCCCTGTTCATTTGCAAAATCTTCTACCTGTTGGAGGCATCCATAAATGTAATAAAAAATGCCATTTTAAACATTTGAGCAATAATTTGTTAATTCCAACAAAACTCTATTCAGATTCTTGGTGCTTCCAAAATAGCTTTCTATCAATATAAGGTAAAAAAAAAAATTTAAAACACAGTCATAAGCTATTTCAGTCCCTGATTTTGTTTAGTCAAACTGCTTCTTGTTTTGTAATAGGAACATGAAATAAATTGTAGCATATTATTTGCTAAAAGGATTTTTCCTCTTTTATTTTTATACCCCAGGCAAAAATGATTTATTCAACTATTTCAAATGCAACAAGAAGGAAAGAGAATTTACCTCTTCAATAGTCTTCTCACCAAACATTATTTCCCCAATTTAAGATAAAGTAGTTACATATGATAAGCAAACTGGCAATGGCAAACACCATACATTTCCAGGGTAATTTTCTAGGACAAAGGTCAGGAAAAAACCTATTCCATGCCCCAACATCCAAATGTCACATATCAACTGCAGTCTATGACCGACTCCTCAACATTCTCCTGGTGATTCCTTAATAAACCATGTATGCACCAGTCTCCTCACTCATGGAGATTAAAGAATGGAAGAAGATCCACCTGATATACTCCACTTTTTCATTCTATTGGGAGTTAGACCTAAATAAGCAGAACCCCTCCCTGTACTTCTTCTATACTTTTACCCTTTCTACTTCTTGACCATCTCCCACTCTGCCTCTCCATCTCATATTATACCTTTTAAATGACAGATGACCATTCCAGCCTTGGTGATGTCATCAACGGTATACTGAACTAGAGTGCTGGAAGCCATGTGACTGACCACGGGTTAGGATTCTTGACCTGGGTGACCTGAAATACACTGGACAAGCTGAAGGACTGGGAGAAGAGAATTACAGCAAGACCAGACCCTCGTGGTGCTTCTCATTCTTTCTCCCTTTCTTTCTTTTGTGTATGTGCATGCACTATCATATATAACAAATTTTAGAAAATATTTTAAATGACTGCTGACTGTTAATCATAATGAAAACAGCATTTAATAAGAACTGACATGGATATAAAAAAGTGCTCTAAATTCAAAAGAGCACAGCTAAGAAAAATTTAGACAATGCACTTATAAGAATTTTTCAGAATAAAATTCAGGAATTTTGATCAAATGCCAATAAAAATCATTTCATATAAGTATAATAGATTATTTTTATTTGTCCAAACAAATAGGCCTCCTGTTGTATTTTAATTTTATGAAGAAATGACAATTGATTCATTTTAAACACTAAATATTTATATATATATATAATTTATATATATATAAATTACAAATATAAATTATATATTTATATCTATTTACATATATTATATATATATTTATGTGTATGTGTTTGTACAAGAAAAAAAGCACAATTGCAGAGGTACAGAAACTAGAAGTCACTTTAAAAAATATTAACAATGACTGTATAAGATTATAAGTGTGGTACACAAGGTAGACACTCAAGAGGCCTAATGGATAAGCATAGTCTGAAAGAATAGATGCACTGATTTAGCCTCATTTTGTGTTGAGTAGCAGATACTCTGAACTTGGAAGAAAACTTTTTTAATACAGAGAAAATGACTTACAATTTTTAATCCAAAAAAATCTAGATATCAAAGTCCTTCCTACTATGTTGACATGTTCTATTAAAAGTATGTGAATATGAGGTCAGCAGTTCATGTAATGGCTGTGTCGCTGTACTCCCATGTAGTCGACCACAGTTCGTGTCCCGGACCTGGTGGCTTAAACTCACGCCGGGTGCATGTGCATGCGTGCCCAAGATCCCAAGAGGAGAATGGAGGAGAAGGGATTACAGCATAGCCATTCCCCGTGGGGGGGTGATTTCCCGCTTTCTGTCTCTCTGTCTCTCCCTGTCTGTCTGGTAAGTATAAACGCCCTATAGCAAAAACCTCTCCAAAAGAAAAAAAAAAGAGAAAGAAAGTACGTGAATACTACAACCCAAAGTCAATGAGGTAATTCCTTTTGGAGAAGTAATGTGGGTAGGTGGCAGAGAGGAGGTGGTGTAGATCAGGAAAAGTGACCTCATATGAGGTAGTGGGGGCCCACCATAGAGTAACTTACATGGGATTCGGAAATCTTCTATTCCGGCAAGTCCGGTTCTAGTAATGAAAGTTAGTGGGTGGCTTCACTATAATTATGAAGGCATTGAAAGATTTATCTTACTAAAAGTTGTTCCAATTAGATTTTTTTATATACTAGATGATGATCATTTTCAACCTATATTAATTATTTCTTTTTCTTGTTATCCAATGTTATACCCCCTAGTAATTATAATTTTAAGCAAGTTAAATGGCAGTTGAGAGAGACAAGATTTAAAGAACACGCAAAGAGGGTTGAGTCTGTGGTGCGGTGGTAATGCGCTGCTTAGGAGAAGCTAAATCCCACATGGCGATTATAATTTGAATCCATGGCCTGGGCAGCCTCCAACATT